TCTCCAGGCCGGAGACCTCCCCAGCCCTGCTGTGGACGGGGAAGGTTGGCGATGCATCGGCGTTCCGGGTCTGGGGATCTCGGGCGTTTGTCCACGACTTGTCTGCAGACAAGCTGTCCCCTCGCGCTGCTCCCTGCGTCTTCCTATGGTTCCCCCTCGACGCCCATGGGTGGCAGTTCTACCACCCCACCTCTCGTCGTGTTCTGTCCTCCCAGGACGTCACGTTCCACGAGTCGGTACCCTACTACCGCCTCTTCCCCTACCGCACTCCGTCCCTCCCCCCGCCCCCGCTCTTTCTTGTCCCAGGTCCCCCCCCGGTAGACCCCCTCCCCCCTCAGGGTGCTGCCCCCTCAGGTGTGTCCCAGGTAGACGCAGTCGAGCCTGTCGAGGTCACGGGTGACTCTGGTGCACTGGTGGTGCTGAGCCTGGGGGTGCTGAGACTGGGGGTGCTGAGCCTGGGGGTACTGAGCATGGGGGTGCTACGACTGGGGGTGCTGAGCCTGGGGGTTCTGAGCCTGGGGGTGCTGAGCCTGGGGGTGCTGAGCCTGGGGGTGCTGTGCCTGGGGGTGCTACGCCTGGAGGTGCCTTGCCTGGGGGTGCTGAGCCTGGAGGCTCTCTGGGTGCTTCGTCTTGCCGGGAGCCACTCTCTCCACAGGAGCTGCGCGAGTGGTTTGCCCGGCGCTGGAGCCGTGCTACTGGTGCTGGAGGTTCGTCGGCTACTGAGGGTGCTGCTGTCGCGGGTCCCAGAGGTGCTCGTCCTGGGAGTACTGGAGCTGCTGGGCCTGCGGTTTCGACTGGAGCTGGTGTTGCTGAGGGTGTTGGCGTTGAGACTACCACTGGCGGCTCGGCTGGCGGTGCTTCTGGTGCTGTTGGAGGTTCTGGGGCTGCTGGAGGTGCTTCTGGGGGTTCTGGAGCTACTGGAGGTGCTACTGGAGGTGCTGCTGGCGCGGGTACTCCTGCTGGGGGTACTGGTACTGTCCCTGCTGTTTCTGGCGTCGCCACGCGGCCCCGACCGTACTTCGTACCGCTCCTGCAGCAGGTTCTTGGTCTTTCACCTTCTCCTGGTCCTCCTCCTCCTCCCTTCGAGGGTCCACAGCCTGTCCTGTCACAGTCACAGCTGCAGCTCGCCTCCCCTTTGCCTGCTCCTTCTCCCTACGCTGGTCCTACTGGAGGTCTTACTGAGCGTCGTGAGCGTGCATCTCGTCATGCGTCGCCTGTTCGTGCTGCGCGCGCTAGTGGTCGCGGTTCGCGTCAGCGTCCTCCTCCTGTCCCTGGCACGCACCGGATGTCTCTACGTCCGTCCTCTGCTCCTCTGCGTGCCCCTTTGCCTTCTCCTCCTACGTCCTCTCTTCCTGCTCTTGCCGACCCGGAGTCGGACTCTCGTCGTGCTGCCAGTCCTACCGTCACGCGTCTCCTTGCTACTGCCGTCACTGACCCTTCTTTCGAGTCTACTGCCGCGTCTGCCCTTGTTACTGAGCTCGTCGACTTTGCTGCTCGCTGTCGTCTAGACTACGCTGCTAGTCTTGTCGCTGAGTCTGAGTCTGCCTGTCCTCCGTCCGTCGGGGGTGAGTGTGCCCTTGGCACGGACGTCCTTGAGGACAGGCAGGAGGAGTTCCAGTGCCTGGCAGCCGCTTCACCTCATCTCGTGTCCGTACTGCTCACCCCTGAGGGAGACCCGGATGCACTTGACATCCCGACTCCGCGCTCTTACGTGGAGGCGATAGAGGGTCCCTACTCCTCTCAGTGGCAGGCAGCTATGGATGCAGAGATGGCTTCCTGGAAGTCCACAGGCACCTACGTTGACGCTTTCCCCCCTCCTTGGGCGAACATCGTCAGTGGCATGTGGATCTTCAGGGTGAAGCGGCCGCCGGGTTCTCCGCCTGTCTTCAAGGCGCGTTACGTGGCTCGTGGTTTCAGTCAGCGGCATGGAGTTGACTACTTTCAGACCTTCTCCCCCACCCCGAAGATGACCACTCTTCGAGTACTGCTGCACGTTGCTGCTCACCGTGACTACGAGCTGCACTCTCTCGACTTCAGCACTGCTTTCTTGCAGGGCAGCCTGCACGAGGAGATTTGGTTGCGCCGCCCACCTGGCTTCACTGGGTCTTTCCCTCCTGGTACCCAGTGGAGTCTCCGGCGTCCAGTCTACGGTCTCCGCCAGGCGCCGCGTGAGTGGGACGACACACTGAGGACTACGCTGGCGGCACTTGGGTTTGCTCCTTCTACTGCCGACCCGTCGCTGTTTCTGCGCACCGACGCTTCTCTGCCGCCGTTCTACATCCTCTTGTACGTCGACGACTTGGTCTTTGCCACTGCTGACACTGCTGGACTCGCCTACGTGAAGTCCGAGCTGCAGAAGAGACACACGTGCACTGACCTGGGTGAACTGCGCAGCTACCTTGGCTTGCAGATCACCCAGGACGGAGCACGCCGCACCATTACCCTGACTCAGTCACACATGGTGCAGCAGGTCCTTCAGCGCTTCGGCTTCACGTACTCCTCGCCTCAGGCCACTCCTCTGCCTACTCGCCACTCGCTCTCAGCTCTGCCTTCGGATGAGTCCGTAGAGTCGAGTGGCCCGTATCCAGAGCTTGTCGGCTGCCTCATGTACCTGATGACCTGCACACGACCTGACCTTGCATACCCTCTTAGCATTCTTGCACGCTATGTTGCTCCTGGGAGACACCGACCAGAGCACATGGCTGCAGCGAAGAGGGTGTTGCGCTACTTGTGCAGTACGTCGGGCATGGGGCTAGTGCTTGGAGGGCGCAGTCCAGTGGTCCTCACTGGGCACGCGGACGCTTCTTGGGCTGACGACCAGGCTACGCAGCGGTCGTCACAGGGTTACACTTTCAGTCTTGGTTGCGGCTCTGTTTCGCGGCGGGCTACCCGCTCGTCTTCTGTTCTCGGCTCCAGTTGTGAGGCTGAGATCTACGCCGGGGCTATGGCTGTACAGGAGCTTCGCTGGCTCACCTACCTGCTGATCGACCTTGGAGAGCCGCCTCGTTCTCCTCCAGTCTTGTACGTAGACAACAAGGCCATGCTGGCCTTGTGTCGAGAGCAGCGACTGGAGCACAGGACAAAGCACATTGCTCTCCGCTAATTTCTTGCGCGTGAGCTGCAGCAGCGTGGACAGTTGCGGCTTGCGTACGTGGCCTCTGAGGCCAACACTGCTGATGTCTTCACCAAGGCACTTGCACCTTGTGATCATCAGCGCTTCTGTACTCAGTTGGGCCTTGTGCCTGTCTTGCCTCACTTGCTCACTTCTTGACCTTGTTTGTACTGTCACATATATATACTCTTGCTCTTGCTTGCTTAGCCTCTTCTTTACCTATATATGTGATTTTGCATGTGAACTGGCCTTTGGCCTTTGAACTTGTGCTCGGAATGTGTGGTGACTTTGTGATCCACCTTGAGCTTTGCCTTGCTTTGCTTGACTGGTCTTGTGACCCCTTGTTCTCCCCCACTTTGCCTATGGGGGTGTGTCAGAACATTATAGCTTACTCATTTGTGTAGGCTATAATGGGGTATCCCATAGGGGGTACAACCCAATCAGGGTTTTCTATTTGTACTCACTTCGTTCATAGTTCATTTCATTCTCGTTCTATTTTTCTCATGGTAGGACTCGGAAAGGGAATTAGCGAAATTATCGGCCCGAAGGTATCGGACGCGAGCGTGAACCGAGGTGGTGTCAAAACCACTGCCGAAAGGAATAGGAAACTTGGAAACAGGGCGCTTTGTCATTTCCTCAAACTTACATCTAGACCATCACCATTACACATAAACTAAGCGTGTTTTCCCTATCGCCACGACGATACAGCCCGGATGGTAGAGTCTCCGCCCCCCCACGCGTACACGCAAGCCTCATCGTATGTTGCTGGCAATATCGCGGCTAGCTCGCGAAGTTATAACGGCGGGCGTATCGTTTTCCCGTCGTCGCTGCCTTATTGCCGAGTCGCCACCTCGCAACCGCCTCCCCAACTCCCAAGTTTCCCAGCCTCCTCGGTCTCTTTCCTCCCCGCCTCGCCACCTCATCGGCGCATCGCCGCCACCTCGCACCTCGCACTATGTGTTCCCTAATCCGCTAAACTCGCCTCCGCACTGCTTCTCGCCTTGGCCGTGCGACCTCCCGTGCCGCGTCGCCTCGTCGTCGGCGCATCACCGCCAAATCGCCGTCTGCCGCATCGCCGCCATCGCGTTCGATTCCACCGCCGCCTCGTCGCCTCCAGTGACGAAACCCATTCTCTTTTCCCTATCCTCCCAGCTGTTCCGCATGTCGCGCTTCCCCTTCGCCTCAGGTCGCTCCTCCCCTTCCCCTCAGGTCGCACTTCCTCTTTCCCCCAGATCGCATTTCCCCTTTCCCCCAGGTCGCTCCACCCCTTCCCCCCAGGTCGCAGTTCCCCTTTCCCCCAGTTCGCACCTCCCCTTCCCCCCCAGGTCGCACTTCCTCTTTCCCCCAGATCGCATTCGCACTTCCCCTTTCCCCTAAGTCGCACTTCCCCTTTCCCCCAGTTCGCTCCTCCCTGTTCAGCCTTTCACAGAGCACCTTTTCACTCCTTCACAATGCACTACCCCTCCCTTCACTTTGCTTCAATTGCCCTCCAATCCCTTCTATTCTCTTCGCTTCCCTTCCCTCCCCTCCCTTCTTGACGTCCTCCCTGCACTTCCCTTCCCCCCTGTCCTTCTCTCTCCCCCCTGTCCTTCTCTCTCCCCCCTGTCCTTCTCTCTCCCCCCTGTCCGCCTCACCCCATTCCGCCTTCCCATCCCTCACCTCCCCATCCCACATTTCCCCAATCACATCTCCCCATCCACATCTCCCCATCCCACATCTCACGCCATTCCGCCTCACCCCATTCCGCCTCACCAAATTCTTCCTCACCCCATTCCGCCTCACCCCATTCCTCCTCACCCCATTCCGCCTCACCCCATTCCTCCTCACCCCATTCCGCCTCACCCCATTCCTCCTCACCCCATTCCGCCTCACCCCATTCCTCCTCACCCTATTCCGCCTCACCCCATTCCTCCTCACCCCATTCCGCCTCACCCCCTTCCTCCTCACCCCTTTCCTCTTCACCCCATTCCTCCTCACCCCATTCCTCCTCACCCCATTCCGCCTCACCCCATTCCTCCTCACCCCATTCCGCCTCACCCCATTCCTCCTCACCCCATTCCGCCTCACCCCATTCCTCCTCACCCCATTCCGCCTCACACCAGTCCTCCTCACCCCATTCCGCCTCACCCCATTCCTCCTCACCCCATTCCGCCTCACCCCATTCCTCCTCACCCCATTCCGCCTCACCCCCTTCCTCCTCACCCCTTTCCTCCTCACCCCATTCCTCCTCACCCCATTCCTCCTCACCCCATTCCGCCTCACCCCATTCCTCCTCACCCCATTCCTCCTCACCCCATTCCTCCGCACCCCATTCCTCCTCACCCCACTCCGCCTCACCCCATTCCTCGTCACCCCATTCCGCCTCACCCCATTCCTCCTCACCCCATTCCGCCTCACCCCATTCCTCCTCACCCCATTCCGCCTCACACCATTCCTCCTCACCCCATTCCTCATCACCCCATTCCTCCTCACCCCATTCCTCCTCACCCCATTCCTCCTCACCCCTCATCCCTTGTGCTTTTCTGCACCAGGGAGCTGCTTGGAGCGCTGTGGGTGGATGGCGGTGGGCAGAGTCTCACAGCAGAGGCGGTCGTGGTGGTGCTGCTGGAGTCTCTTCTGCATTCATCCCTTACCCTGCATTCCTCCCTTCTGCCCTCCCTCACATTCTTCATTCTTCAGTCCCATGTTCCTCCCGTCATGCATCCTTTCCTACATTTGTTCCTCCCTTCATCCATCCCTCCCTTCATCCATCCCTCCCTTCGTCTGTTCCTCCTTTCCTCCCTACCTCCCTTCTTCCATTCCTCCTTCCTTCTGTTCCTCCCTCTGTGTCTCTTTATTTCTTCCTGTTCGCAGGTGCTTGCTTGTCAATTATCAATTTTTTGTACCGGTATGCTTACCAGCTGATTCAGCCACGAGCATCCGATTTTCACAGTCGTGTTTGTACACGTCCTCCCCCTACGCATTTGGTTCAGGAATGTTGGCTGTTGCATAGTGCCGTACTACCAGTTATTAGCCATGCCAATGTTGAATGCTTATTATTTTACTAATAACATTTTATCCGTGGAGGAGTGAGAGTGACCATTGACCACCTACGAAGTGCAACAATCAACTCAAAGATAACAAAATTCAGTCACTGTTACCGTATTCTCCCGGATAAAACACCCCCCCGTAATTGTACACCCCCGGGTAGCTAATACGGGGTGGGTGTTATATCCGACCCCGTTAGTACTATACCCCCCTTTTTGGGGTGATTCTCTATAACACCCCCCTTTTCTTATAGATTCCTATTATTATAGCTGTTATCGAGTCCGATTCCTTACGGGAGGATATCGCGAAAATCACTCCCCAGAAGAAATTTCGCATGTACTTTCACTTAGAATTAGCCGAGATATCCCCCCTCCCACAATCTCGCTGTCGCCACGCTGGTGAATCCCAAAATCTCGCTGTCGCCACGCTGGCAAATCTTCCATTGCAAGTGGTCCAAGAGGTGAAGTGGCCCAAGTGGCCCACAATATCCTCGTACTCGGTTTTGCGGCATTGATAAACAATCTTGAAGTGAAGTCAGACCCCTGATTTTGTTTCACATCTTTTCTGTTTTATAAAAAATATACCATATCATAAGACCCGGATATTATATAGGATTTTCCTTTGAGGAGACCCCCCCCCCATTTTTTTCCAGTGGTTTTCATAATACCCTAGGGTGTTTTATCCGGGAGAATACGGTATGGTTCTTCCCATCCCCTCTTGTCTGCATACACAGCAGCAAAAAACAAGGACTTGTGGTTCCCTCCCTACACCTGGTGCTGGGCACATGTACACTGCATGGGGGGTAACGGGGGTGAGTGAAGGGGAAACACAATAAGCAGGGGTTGAATAGGGGTGTGATCAGGGGGGAACAGAATGTGCAGGGAAAAACGGAGTGCAAGTGAGACAGTGAGCAGAAGGGAAGAGATCGAGCAGGGGGAAAGAGAGCAGGGGGGAAGAAAGTAAGCAGGGGGAACGAGAGTGAGCATGTTGAAAGGGAGTGAACAGGGGGAAAGAGGTCTCAGAATCCCAACCACTAGACCATTGGGATAAAAGGGCTTGTTTCAGTAGCGGGTCAGTGCGCCCATAACCCCCCAGGCAAACGCGCCCGTAACCCCCCCTAGGATCGATCGGGGATCTCACAGTGTAGCTCTACTGACACCTCCCCACACTGGGAGGCCCAGGACTGAGCACAGTGGCAACGGCCAACATGTGCATACACTGGGATTCGAACCCGAGACCGCTCTGATACCATCTTATAATCCCAACCACTAGACCATTGGGATAAAAGGGCTTGTTTCAGTAGCGGGTCAGTGCGCCCATAACCCCCCAGGCAAACGCGCCTGTAACCCCCCCTAGGATCGATCGGGGATCTCACAGTGTAGCTCTACTGACAAGAGGGTGGGCATGGGGAAAGAGATTGAACAAGGGGGGAGAGGGTGGGCATGGGGAAAGGGATTGAACATGGGGGGAGAGGGTGGGCATGGGGAAAGGGATTGAACAGGGGGGGAGAGGGTGGGCATGGGGAAAGGGATTGAACAGGGGGGAAGAGGGTGGGCATGGGGAAAGGGATTGAAGAGGGTGGGAGAGGGTGGGCATGGGGAAAGGGAGTGAACAGGGGGGAAGTGTCAGAACATATAGCTTACTTACTTGTGTAGGCTATAGTGGGGTATTCTATAGGGGGTACAACCCAATTAGGGTTTCCTATTTGTACTCACTTCGTTCATAGTTCATCTCATTCTCGTTCTATTCTTCTCATGGTATCGAGCAGGTTCCCCTGTGGGAACTGTGCTTAGGGCCCACCACTACCTCGAACTTTTTTTTTTCTGCCCGGAGCGCGCTCCGGGCTCTCTCTTTCACTCCCGCGCGCCGCCCTTAGTCGCCCGCGCGCCGCCCGTTCCGGCCCTTAGCCGCCAGCGCGCCGCCCTTAGCAGCCCGTGCGCCGCCCTAGAGCCCGCGCGCCGCCCTTATCAGCCCGCGCGCCGCCCTCTAGCCCGCGCGCCGCCCTAGAGCCCGCGCGCCGCCCTACGCAGCCCGCGCGCCCCCCCCCCCCCCCCCCCCCCCCCCTAGAGCCCGCGCGCCGCCCTACACAGCCCGCGCGCCACTCGCCAGGCCCCAGGCCGCCCGCGCCGCCCACGTGCCGCCCACCAGGCCTCAGGCCGTCCACGTGCCGCCCGTGCGCCGCCCTCAGCCGCCCGACGCGCCGCCCGTGAACCGCCCGTGAGCCGCCCGTGAGCCATCCGTGAGCCGCCCGTCAGCTCCCCGTGCGCCGCCCTCAGCCGCCCGTGAGCCGCCCGTGCGCCGCCCGTGCGCCGCACTACGCCGCCCGTGCGCCGCCCTCAGCCGCCCGACGCGCCGCCCGTGAGCCGCCTGTGCGCCGTCCGTGAGCCGCCCGTGAGCCGCCCGTGAGCAGCCCGTGAGCCGCCCGTGAGCCGCCCTCCAGCCGCCCGTGCGCCGCCCGTCAGCAGCCCGTGAGCCGCCCGTGCGCCACCCGCGAGCCGCCCGTGAGCCGCCCGTCACGACGCCCGAGCCGCCCGTGCCACCCGCCTCATCCGAGCCGCCCTAGCCGCCCACGCAGCTGAGGAGCTGAGCCGCCCGAGCCCCCCGTGCCGCTGAGCGCCCGAGGCGCCCGAGCTGCCCGAGCCGCCCGAGCCGAGCTACTGGTCCTGTTGGGTTGCTGTTGCTCCTGGGCCGGCGGAGTTGCTGTGTTGCCGTGTTGCTGTGCTGCTGAGCTGCCCGACCCTTCCTGTCTGGTGAGACTGTCGACTGCTGTCATGGCCACCCCTAGTGTCCTGGCTTTTGACGCTGAGGGTCGCGCCATTGACTTTGCGGTCTAGGTCGACGACCTGCAGCTGTACTTGCAGTGCGATTCGGTAGATGACATTTCTCTCTTTGACTTTGCCTCTGGCGCTGTCCCTGCCCCTACTGCTGATGCTGACCCCACTGTTCGCTCCAAGTGGGCCAGACGCGATGCTGCTGCACGTCTTGCTGTGCGTCGCCACCTCCCTTCCTCCGAGCGTGCTCACTTTAGCCAGTGCAAGAGTGCTCAGGCCTTGTACGACGCTGTAGTTGCGCGCTACTCCTCCCCTTCCTCTGCTACACTTAGCCGCCTCATGCTACCGTACCTCTTCCCTGACCTTGCTGCCTTTCCCACAGTTGCTGACCTCTTTACCCACCTCCGCGCTAGTGACACTCACTACCGAGCTGCGCTTCCTGCTGACTTCTGCGCCGCAAACCCCCCTCCCATGTACATCACCATCTACTTTCTAGTCACCTGTCTCCCTGAGTCCCTTCGTGTAGTTAGGGACCAGTTTCTCTCTGTCTGTCCCACCACCCTCACTGTCGACCTCCTCGAGAAGTCCCTGCTAGCGGCCGAGAAGAGCATAGTCGCTGTAGGGGCCTCTCGTGGTGACCCTCGCACCCCCATCTTTGAGGGGTGTTCTCCTTCCCCCCTGTTACCCTCTGTCGCCTCTGCTGCTGCGGCCGACCTCGTTGGTCTAGAGTCGATCAGTGCGGCGTCTGCCCCCAGCGGTAGGCGCCGCTCTGGCAAGGGCAAGGGGGGCAAGGGAGCGGGTGGAGCTAGCGGGGGCGGTGGCGGAGGAGGTGGGGGCGGCGGGGGGAGTGGGGGTGGCGGTGGAGGTGGTGGCGGGGGTGGAGGTACTAGTGGCGGCAGTGGAGGCGGCGGTGGCGGCGGAGGTGGCGGCGGAGGTGGCGGTGGGAGCGGCGGAGGCGAGGGTGGCGGTGGCGGCGGTGGAGGCGGAGGCGGGGGGTGGCGGTGGTGGAGGTGGTCGGAGTAGCTCGTCCTAGCAGAGCAGCACTGGGGGTGGTCAGCGCCAGCAGCAGCAGCAGCAGCAGCAGCAGCAGCGCTCTCGCGACGTCCCCGCCCCTCAGCAGCTCCGTGAGTGGTAGTCGCAGCGTCAGCGTGGTGGGGCGTTTGGTCCCTGCACCTACGTCCTTCGCACCGGCGACCGCGCGGGTGAGCAGTGTGGGGGCACCCACACCGCCCGGCGCTGCTTTGGCCGCCTGACAGATGCTTGGCGCCAGCAGTTTCCGGAGGCCTCTCAGATCCCCCGCTGGGGAGAGCTGTCTAGGGCTGGTGTAGCTATCTTTGATCTTGACTTTGATGCTATCCTTGCTGCCATGTATGCTGTGACTGTTAGTGATGAGGGTGACTGTTACCGGTGTTTCCCGCCCGACCCGGGCATTGGTACTGCTGCGTTAGGTGCCAGTGAGGCTGCTGCTCTAGGTGCCAGTGCGTCTGTGCTCTCAGGTACTGGTGAGTCTCCACTCTCAGGTACTAGTGAGTCTGCACTCTCAGGTACTGTGTCGGCTTCGGCCTCTCACACCTTCACCCTTGACTCTGGGGCGTCTCGCTCCTTCTTTCGGGACCGCACCACTCTCACGCCGCTTAGTCGGCTGGTTGCGGTGTCCCTGGCTGACCCCTCTGGGGGTCCTGTCCTGTCTCGTTTCTCCACAGTCCTCCCGTGTTCGGCGGCTCCCTCTGGCACCCTGTCTGGTCTCTACCTCCCCTCGTTCTCTACGAACCTGGTGAGTGGTGCTGACCTACAGGATGCGGGTGTCCACCAGTTCACTCCTGCTCGTCAGCGGGTGACACACTGCACAGAGGCTCGCACAGGTCGCCACCTGGCTACGTTTACACGTCAGCCAGGGTCGAGCCT